TATGTCTTGTTTCTCGGTCCTCTAAAATTTTTCATACAACGTTAACTAGGTCCGTCCTACAGTTAAATTTACAAGCTTAAAGCCTCGCACCCGGGCAAAATATGAAGGGAAGTGGAAAGATGCAAGAATTATTTTAGCCTCAAAAGGTGTCAACATTATCAGATAAAAAACGTAAACTCACTCTTGCAAGACTTGAGGCCTAAGAGGCTTTGTAGCACGGCACATTTACTGCCCACAATATTGTTAGTTTTAGAAGAAACGTGATAATATTATTACTGTATTGGTTATTTCAGGAGCTTAACCTAAGTTAAACTTAGAAGAAGATCTTAATGTTCAAAGAAATCATTAAAGCAAGTGACAGTGATTTCTCGTTACTTTTGTTGTACCTGTCTCCTAGCGAAACTGAATAATTATGCGAGCTTTCTTCTACTTGAAACGTTAACGCATTCTAATAAGCCGAGATTTTTTTGGACAAAATTTGTGAGGACATGAATTTTGTAAAAAAGTTGTCAATGACTGCTTCTAGACGTGTTTATTTTAAAAGACTTTGCGAAGCCAACATTCCGATAGGCTACGTAGGTAAATGAAGCTCGAATCACAGTTTTCACTTTTATCGATTATTTGGTTCTTCCTCAGTCAGTCAAAGCCGCGCCTAAGCTTCGAGTAAGTCTAGAAGAAAGAGGAAGTCGTCTCTTGGGAGGGTAAGACGGGGAGGGGCTCTTACCATACCTATGGGGGGAAGGGGTGGGAGTGGGCCTAACCGTTCATTAACTTTTATCAATTCCCTCTGTAGCGTGCTTTGTACCTAAGATGTATCTTTGTGTATTTTTATTTCCAGTGACTTAAATGGTTTTATTTACAACAATTCAATCTAACAAAGGTCATTAACAGCAACGATCAATGATAGCTTAACATCGCAAGCAGGTTCATTGTGAAACTTTCGAGTAAGATTGTCGCTGATGTGATCATAAATGCAAGTCACCAAGAATGTATGAGACAGATCGAAGTTCTCCATAATGGAATTCTTCGACATTAAGAAGAAATATCTTGCTTCACTTAATTGCGACCCCCCCTCTAATCCCTTCCTTCTGTGAAAGAATTATCTGAAGAAAATATATAAAAAGTGAAATTACATATTCTACATTTATATATTGTATATCATACTATATATTCTTTAGAGTGAGGTAAGTCAGACTTCTTATTAGTATTGTTCAGTGTTTTTTGGTGAGATCTTTTTAGCTGCCAGTGTTTCGTAATACGGCATACACTCTTCTACAACAGAAGCCACCTGAGGAGGAAGCTCTTCCAAATCAAAGGCAGCGGATGTGTGAGGCCTGTTCTTCTTGGCTCTTGGTTTAAACCCAGTACTTTTCAAAGCGTCTTCGTGCCACCCTGCCCAAACGTCCCATTCAGGCACAGGACCTGGTTCCCATGATGTCATTGTCTCTTCATACTCCAAACCAACTGCTTCACAATAACTCTGTAAAATTCCATTGGGATAATCCAAGAGATCGTCTGCATCTACGACAATGGGATTGCTGTGGATATTTCTGTCGACAAATTCGTACAACTCGAGCATTTGACGAAACCCTGCCTCTGCAGGATCAAAGTAATCCCATCCCGTGAGTTTCGGATTTGTTGAGGCTCTGTATAAGGAATAGACAGCTTTAAGAGGTTGACGAATGAGGAATGAATGTTGAAAGTTCTTGAAACCTTCTTCAACAAAAATGTGCATTTTATTTTCCACGCAGTAGGCCATTTCCTTGGAGAAGACGAAATCTCTACCATCGTACTCCTTTTGGAGCATTTTGCTGATCAAACGGTAGGTCGCTTGTTGCTTTGTTTCTTGAGCTGCATATCTGGCACTTTGCTTTTCTGGACCGAAGTAGAACGCTTGTGAATACGGCTCGTGAAAGATTTTTGAGTTCTTAAGATTCATGATCGATCTCTCAAACGCTGTTGAGACGCACCGTGGGGCTGTCCAGAGAAGGATGCGATTTTTTGACATCTTTGTAATCCGGCTGACTCTCTGAAGACCTATTACTCTGTATCTTAAGGTCTCCTTGTTTTTTAAATCAGACAACGAGCTCCTTGACTTGTTGTTTGGTCCCCGCTGGCCGCCGACTGAAGTCAGTTCAAACAATAGTGTGGAATTATGTTGAGCGTGGTTTTATATCCTGCTACCTGCCGCTCGTATTATAGAAAAGGTGTGAGCTGAGTCCCACGCATTGGTGAGTTCAACAGTAAGTAAAAAAAAAACAGGTGCAACACTTTGTAACAATCTCTCCTTTTAAAAGGCAATTGAATATTAAAAGAAAAGAAAAACAATATGCGTGCAACAAATCCAGCGGCTGAATCAAAGTGTAGTGCTAAGAATCCATTCAAAAGATGCTTTCAAGTCGTTGTTTGAGCGGCAAAAACCAATGTGTTCACTTAAATTTTTAATAAAAATTCAAAATTTATTTTTGCAATTAAGAGGGAAGACTTATTTTCGGGAATTGTGGCGAGTAAAATTATTTATGGTGGGTGTTATCAAGTCTTGCGGTTGCCAACCATCTGTTCCTTCTTTTTCATTATTATTATTTTTCAATTTTATTTCCTATTTTTATAGTCGTGATTTTTCCTTGAATCGAAAACATTATGACCTTTTAAGAAATATTTAAGTCTTGTGATAAAGCATAGTTTTAACAACTATATTATATACAGCTAATTCACCCTCTGGCTGCGATTTACTTAAACAAATTATCTAGTCACATATCTGTTTCCTGATGCCAATTTTTCGAAAGTTCCGGTGATTATCAGTCCTGCAAAACTGAATCTGGTTAGCCATACCTGAGATTCTAGATCGAGGTATCGATATTTAACACTTGCACAACTATTCCTCAAACTGAGAATCAAAGCTTCGGGCCAGTTAAGTGGCGGACCCTGGCAACGGAAAAACTCGATGCTTTTTTCGGGAATTTAAATTCAGAATTTCACCAAATATAATTAAAACCTTGTTGGAAATCACCTTCATGCAAAGCATTATTTTACAAACAAATGTTGATGGAGGGCATCCTTTTGAGCGCAGCTTTAAAGTAATTCGATCGTGTGAAGTCAATGAGTGAGTGAGTGACACTCACGTAATGACGTATTTGGTAATAATGACGGGATCAAATAAACACTAAATATCTATCTCGGGTTTCTCACGAAAGTGGTTTATGAGATAAGTGTTAGTGATGTCATCGGAATCAGCGGTGGCAGTTATCACTTACCTCGAAATGAATTAATGCAGTATTTGGGAAAACGTCTGTTATCTCTCCTTTACAAGATCAGAGTCCACAGTGTAAGGAATGCTTAAAATTTGAACTGCTCTACTAACAGCTTTCTTTTGACACACCACTTGGGATCTCTACAACGAGAAGCAAATCTCGACATCAAAATTATTGATAAAATCAGTCGGCAGTCTACAGTCATGATGCCACGATGCTAGTATTTTCTATCCACACCTGTTCGCCACGATAACTCTAGTCTGTAGGCCTATGTTTCTTTGGGCAAAATAGTCACAGTTATTTCTACATGGAGAACTAAAAATCTGGAAGCACGTTTTTTGCACTTGTCCCGTATTTTGACCCTGCATTTTGTCAGAATCTTTTCTTTTTTCGTGTCGTTTGGCTAGGTTTATGAGAGTTAATATAAATACTTTCACTACACAGATTCGTTAACTACATTCCTTGGGAACTGCATGTTATAGTGAGCTTAGGCATTATACACATGACAGCATATTCTGCTAAAAAAAATTCACGTCGGGCCTCTCTAACCTTTTTTATTTTCATGTCAATGTTACCAAAACACTTAACAGATGAAATCGAAGAGAAAAAAACATTTCTTGTCTTACAGAATTTTACGGTAAAGGAACAGAAGTCGCACAATCATAGTGTCCTTGGGAATCAAAGACACCCGTTATTGAAAGATGAATCATGTCCAAGTGATATTCACCAAAACTGAAGTCCTCAAATGACTGAAAAAAAAAAGGAAAATTGAGAAGATCAGAACTACATCAAATAAGCGGAAGGGTCAAAACAATAACTTTCGTCCTTCCGTGGCTTTCACTTTGACACTTAGGAGTGCCAAAGAGAGACTGGTAACAAATCAACAAGACAACTCTTGAAAAATAACCTTAAGAACAGCAAACATGAATGTATCTGCTTCGTACAAAATAAATATCGAGATTTAGAGAGCACTTGACGCCCTACTTTAATGACTTTTCTTGAGTCAAACGATGTTCTCTTTTTAAATCTTGGCGCAGCATCGCCTCTGCTCTTTTTGGTAAATGTTTCTTCTCCGCCGGGATCATCACGCTGTTTAGTGTTCATTACAGTGGCGTGTAACTTGACGCGATCGTATTCACGTTTCATCAAACCGGCAGATACGAACGTATCAACTAACGCGTTAGCCAACAGCTGGAGCCTTAAGTAAAGCAAAAGAAAAAAAAAAAGGGAAAAAACATTAACTGTACAGCCCTGATGGCGGAAGCTCATAAAATCTTATTAAAAAATACCAAATGAACGAAGCAGTTCACTTTTGAGCTCTTTTACTCTGATAAATTTCTAACTTCATTAGACATGCAGAGTGATTCTGGTTTAAAAATAATGAAAATGACACAATTGAATCTTAAAGTGCCTATGAAGTAAAAATATTTTTTTGAATAATTTTGTAGCTTATTATGTCCTTATTAAGGAATGACAAAAGAAATTTCAAGAAAAGAAATTTAAATCGGCTTTTTGGTGGCTCGAAGTCCCTAAATTAGACGTTATCGGTGTCTCCGGAAACTGGGAACGAGTTTGGCTCAGATGACGTATTGTTGGTTCTGGCGCTTTGTTGAAGCTTTTTTTTGTCGTCTTCAGAACCACCAACTACGTCACTTCCTTTGTAAGATGAGATTTGACCGCACGCAAAATGGACCCATTTCAGATTGCAAAATCCAAACTTTGAGTTTCAAAAAATAATATAAGATTGTTCTTTTGGTCAGTCAAAATCGCTTAGCTGTGTTCATCAAGACATAAGCAAACAAACAGGGCAAAAAAAATTTTTACTTCATAGGCACTTTAAGGCAACCGTAATGTTTTTGGTAAGTAAGATATTCAACAATTAACGAGAAAAAATTGAGATTGATATTAGTAGTTAGAATAGGACCAGAGCACAAAATTAACTTCCAAAGCTGAAAAAAATCAATGGTCCATCTTTTTCACTTTTACATCTGGCTAACAGCACATAAATAAGTCAATCATAATCTTGTAGAATGGCAAGATTGTACAGCAATAGTATGGAAAGTTTAGTACAATTCTAATCAAAATCCAATGATAGTTATGTCAGGTGCTTAGTTGTCAAAAGATTAAATATTCTGTGAGCTAGGTTTGCTGATCCTTTCACGTACCTGTCAGAGTTGTCTTTTACAAGCACTTTAGCATACAAGATATCTACTTCAGATGGATCATCATTCATGCACTCCACACCTTTGAGTTCAACCACTACTGGCTCATTGTGAAGCCACTTGCTACAAATAACAGCAAATTGTTTATCTAACATATTTAGATTCAAAAGTATCTCCAGCTTTAATCTTTAATGTTCAATCTTTGTGCACATATTGTTAAAGTTCATCAGAAATAAAATAAATTCTTTGAGATGCTGGTGAGACTGATCTTAACATTAACAACACAGCTGATATGAACTCTGCCAAAAAATTATTTAACTTGTTGCTTTTTTTTTTCTGTTCTTCACGTTCGTTTACACCTCTACTTAGGATGACCACCAACAATAGATAACAAGGGGCCACCAACCGGTACAGTTGTAGATGTAGACTACATTTTTTATTGGATATATCAACAAAGTTGAAATGGTAAATTGGCCACCGTAACGATTACAAAAGCTGACGTTTCGAACGTTAGCCCTTTGTCGGAGTGAAACGTCGCTCGAAACGCTCGAAAGGACAGCTTTTGTAATCATTACGGTGGCGAGTTTACCATTTCAACTTTGTTGATATATCCAAGTTATTTTGTTACCCCCACCGACGTAGCCCCAAACAGTTTCTTTCGAAACTATCAGCCTTTATACATTTTTTATTGGTTTCCCAGTGTAATAACCCTTGTGGGATGTTGAGAGGACACAAGGAAAGTTTGTTAGTTACCTAACAAGGTCTTGGTAGCACTGTGACAACAAGTCTACTGCATTTTTCTACAAATAAAGTAAAAAATTTTATTATTGTAATATCACCAGAAATACATGAATTGAAGTATATTTTTAGGAGAAATATTGAAACATAGTTTGAATCCTGGATCCAACTTTGAAGTAAAGTTATAATGAGAAATATGTAGAGAAAATACACCACTAGAATATTCAGTCATCTGAGTCAAAAAATGAGTACCACATAAACCTAGAGAACTTCCCATTGAGAGAGAGGAAACTTGATCCCAACAGCTTAACAAAGACAAAGATTGAAAGACAAAAGTGCTAGCTATAGTCCGCTGGTTTCTCCTTCTTACTTATCACATGTTGATCCATCTTAACTAAGAATGGTTATCAAAATGTTGAATTCAAAGGTTAAGAATCCTTACCACTTCTTTGTCACTCAATAAGGTCAGTATACCAACAGTTAAATGAATCTTCGTTGGCAGCTGAAATATGCTGGCATTAATCCCTCGACACTGCAGAGTGCAACATTATCCATAATTATATTCTAGCATTAGTTATTACCTCTGTGTCATGATGAATCATCAAAAGAATTGCCTTTTTGTATAATAAGTCAGGTTTTTCAAAAAATATATTCAGTACAGAATCAAAGAAAAACAAATTCTTTAAAGTTTCATCAACACTATAACCAATTATTTAGCGAGCTAGATGATGATTACCTCAAAACAATCTTCGAGCACTTTAACCTTAAATTCATCCATCTTCCTTGCCAAGTCACTGTTGTACAAAGGAAAACACAAAAAATGCGTGAAAGGAATCTTTTGCCTGGAAGTTTCAGCAATCACCTCTATCCGGCTTCTAGCTCCCACAACACCACTCCTGTGGGAACCAATTATCACTATAAAGAGACATAAAAAATACAGAATGAAATAAGAACAAGACTCTTAGCAATGTTATCAAAAGAAGTTAAAAAATCATCAATAGTTGATGACAACACATCACTTAACTTTGGTTGGGGAAAATATGAAGTATAAATGTAAAGTCAAGAAAGAGAAGAGCTCTCACTTCCTGTGTTTTAAAAGTTTCACTTCTATACTAGATTGTTGTTTATTACCTAGATTTGATTAGATTAGATTAGATTAGATTAGAATACCTTAGATTAGTCTACTGTTCTTTGAAAAGTTAGTCTTAGTCTCTGACCATAAGCCATTTAAGCCTCTGGCTTTGGCCAATCTTAGGAATTCACTTGTATGACACAAACAATAATAATGAATAAAAGAATCACATTCTGAGGCAATGATTGTCAGCATTATTCCTGAGGCCTGTTTGGAACTCACCAATATCTCCCTCTTCTCCCTGTCTTGGAACCGTTACTTGAGTGTTGGTTTCTTTTTCAATTTTCTTTTTTGTTTCAGCCCTTCTTCCCAGGATAAATTTAAATAAAGGGCTTGGTATTTCCACAGATAACCTATACCCCCGCTCTGTCTTTTCAATAGATTCACTCACATCACAAGCTTCGTCATTTTCCCAATCCAACTGTTCTGAAGGACCTTAAGAATCATGAGAACGAGATATCAAGAGGGTGAGAATAATGGTAGAAAAAGCTTAATAATGAAGCTTCCTCTAACAATTTTCTAATTGGTTCAATTTTCATACTCTCATGCTGCTTTGGAACACGGTCCGAATTATGTTCGATTTTCTGCTCAAACGGCATTTTTCGGTAGCATCGTCCTCCAATATATATGAGCGTAGGTTTCATCACATCCATATCTCCCAGGTAATCTACTGGAAGATCAACATCGTCTTCGCCATGACTAAGTACAACATTAAGACACCGCCATTTTGAAAACGTACCTGAGTGGACTGGCACGAGTAATTACCAATCCCACTCCTGGCATTATCGCCAGAGCCTTACTTGTGGTTACCTCGGCAACATGCGAGGGACATAAAAGAGGCAATGGCGAGGAATGACACTCAAAACAGACATATTGTGGAAAGAATTACAGCCTAATATCTCTTCCAACGCTATTTTGGCTACTGAAAATACTTCAAAGAGAGATTGTAATTTTGAAACAACAGACTGATAAAAAGAAAATGCCAGTTGAACGTGTACCAGTTGTCCACAAATTTGGCATTATCTCACACACTCAACGTCTGACTTTGGAGGACAGACTTGCTAAGAAATCACTTGCCACTAAACCACCACGTACGTTCTCTAGGACGAGGTGAGGAAATGACTTCAAACGTTTAGTTGGATTGTTTATGGACACATGGCAAACTTCCTTACAAGGAATTTGAAAATAGTTTTAAAATTACTGTTCCTAGTTAGGTCTCCACACCTCACATATAGAATATTTGGGCTGCCTGTGGTGTTATGGTATTTTCCGTTAATAAAACTGATTATTACATGTACTTAACTTAATTTACAAACTAAACAAATCACACAATTTTTTATGAACAGAAGGTTGCCCTATGAAGTGACAGAGGATTTTATTGCCAAGGTAACTTATTGGTAAAACCTTAATTGAAAAACAATTACTGATAACGCAAGTTATGTGCATCATAGATTAAACTTAAACTCTCAATACCTCACTGACATAAGAAGTTACAGTGATAACCAAGAATGAAAACAATACAGAGAAAAATATTTCCTATGACTGCAACACCAGGTGTTCATGTACAAATCACACTCAACAACAAGCACCAGAATAATTTGGATATATCAACAAAGTTGAAATGGTAAATTAGCCACCGTAATGATTACAAAA